TCAGGAATCAGGAGGGCGACCAAAAGTGGATTTGCCTGCCCTCATCAGAACTGAGCCAACAATTGCGACCGTTGCTAAGGAAATAGAACATCAGAATGATAACAAGGGAGAAGAAAACACTTCACAAATCTGCCGACGCAACACGAGAAGACGGATAAACTTGATTGCTCGGGAGTTTATTGCATCAAATGAGGAAACTGTGAGCAGAAGTATATCGGTGAAACAGAAAGAAAAATCGGCCTGTGAATTAAGGAACAGCAAAGACTCTGCAGGAACGTGGATACGAAAATATCCGAAATAGCGGAACATATTGCACGAATGGGGTACTAAATTGAATGAAAATCGACCAAAAGGTTGGCTGCATGTGATGAAAATACGAGAAAACGCAAGATCCGAGAGGCCATCGAAATACTGACCAAGAGAAATCTAACGAACAGGAGACTTGAAGAAGGCAGGATCAGCGAAAACTTTGTATATTGCCTAAATAAACTCGGATAAGACCAGACAACAGGAAGATCAGCAAAAATAAGACGACTTGATCACGACAACGAGGTCAAACAACTTCTAAACAACAAGGTCAAACAACTTCTTATCTATAGTTTACCATAATTCACAAAAACACTCGGATCAGAAATGTAGCCGACGAGGTCGTAACTACAGTTTCCTTTGGATGAGAATACCCTTTTGAATCGACGTTATTTAAAAGTAAATTGAATCGTTAGGCCCCATCTCATTGTGGGAAAATTTATTTTCCATCATTCATTATCTTAGGCTACTTATAAATAGAGCTATTAAAGAGATTAATTGGACATTTTTGTCAATTATGAAAATTTATAGGATCTCACAAGGCATTTCCAAAGCGTTTATGTCCCGGATGTTGGAGTTTTTTACGATTTTCTGGTCTCCTGTGGCTTCAGGGCTTTTCTCAGAAGTCGTTTTTCCCATCTTCTTGACCTTCTTCTTCTCGGTCGTCTTTCCTGGTATCGGATAGGCCTCATCCAACAAGTCACTGAGAGAAGACAGAAACTGTGGAGCAGATGTGACGACAGTTGGGGTGACCGCTGAAGGAGCCATGAGTTGAATGTTTAAGGGCCGGACAAGTATGTCTGTAAGTACTGCCTCGAGAGCCGGCTTCAAGTCGCCAGGATGCAGCTGGCCCGAGACAAAGGCTTCACTAAGCTCATGGATGTTGGCGTAGGATAAAGGACCACCGTGATTCTCTGATCGAGATATTGTGAAAGCTAAGCAGATGAAAACGGGTTGGACGCAAGAGAAAAAGAATAAGGCATCGAGACAGAAATTCAGAATTGTCTAAGATCATGCTTAATAAAAAATAAATCTTCCTTCTTTCTAAATCTGAAATATTCTCTTAATAATACTTAAATACTCATGATGATCATGGAAAAGTAAACCTAGTGACCATTTATTGGTTAATCTTTCGTATCGGGCAAGCTTAATGTCCTCATTACAAGGAAAGACATATATATCAGGCTTAAAATTATTCCTCACAAAATAAACTTAATTTTGGCCATTATTGAAGATTACTTCTTATATCTAAAGTTAATTCAGAGATAATGCGGCGAATTATTAGAAGATCACAAAGCGCTACAGATTCATGTGCTTAATAAAAATCTCTAAGAAATTTTTCTAGAGGGATGTGGAAATCATGTCAGAGTGTAAGGAAAAAGAGTTTCCTATCTTTGGAGAAATAATAAGTCACTCGGATAGAATATTCCGAGACATTAGAGCAATCACTAAAAAGACGAAGAAGCCTTTTACCAATAATATTTCTGTCCTTATTACTTCATTTTAAACGAAATATAAACAGTAAGGTGAGTGTTGCTCAGAACTTACACAGATCTTTCGAAACGTCGCCCGGCCTGAGTCCAGCCTGCCAGCGAAGGCATGGTAATACAAAAAGCCGGTAAATTTCGAGACAGGGATTGAAGAGTACATTTCCAGGTTGGCAGAAGGCACGTCGAAGACGCTTCTTCAAACTTCGCATAGCCTCCAACTTTATTCCCGGTGCTGGTGGCTCCACAAGCGCAATACTGGCCTCTTCGGCAGCCGCCGCAGCAGCCATTGCTCCAGCTGTATTTGTCTGACCAGAAGCCTTAAGAAAGATGCGAGAAGACGGTGGACAAGCAGACATTGGAATAGAGTCAAATTTTAGGGCGAGGGAAGCCTCCGTCTGGCCTAAGTCGAGACCAGGCACTTGAAGCGCAGGTAGAAGATCATGCCCGATTATGACAGGTGGGTTTGGATGCGCATGTCCAGTGAACGACGATAGGAACTGTTGCCGGCCGAAGGATTAGAAGGAGGGGTGACAGGCATTGATGACAAAATAAAAGAAGAAACGATCCGACGAATTAACTAGACGAGACAAGATAAAAATGAGGCGGCTAACTCAGTAGATCAAAAAATAAAATTGTGAACAAAT